AGTAGCTATATAAAAATGTTGCAGGAAAACGCCAAGCCCAAATGCCTGACTTGTGAGAGACAGATGCAGCTACCACAATGCAGGCAAGCCATGGCATGTGTGTATGGAGGGGAGAGGGCATCCCCTCCAGAAGGCTGGCTTCTGTTTTATTCGAAACACTTTTATCAGGTTTCATGTTGGCAACATTTGGCATTTTCATTTTTTTTTTGGTTTAATGTTGTTCTGCTAGTAAAGTAATGATCTGCTCCGTATTTGTATTGTTTATTTACTTGTTATAAAACTGTTTCAAATTAACTGTTTCAAATTAAAACAAAAGTTTTCATTTTAATTGTTGCTTAACTATGTACTTTTCAGCGCCTACAATAGTCATGCGCAGGCTGTGTAGTGCCGACACTTAGGTTTTTAAAGCTGGCTCCAACTTTGGAGATAGAACATAGAATGTACCATTTATGATGTGTTGCTTTAATAAGAACTTGAGGATCTATATGCAATCATAAATTTAAGTGCATGGAGGTGTGAGTAAATGCTAAAGATCTATGTTTTCTCCAGTTAAGTAAAAGTGAATCAGAGATTAATAAGACAAAATGAGACCCAAAATAGGATCCTAGTATCATACTTTTGATATGTACAGTCCAGTGATGGGAATTATGACAATATTCTTGTATAAAATCAATTAGATAATACACAATATGGAAATGGATTATCCTGTAAATTACTCATAAAAAGACAGATGTGATTTGAAAAATAAAGCAGTGAATTGCAACTGGCTCCAACAATAAATATATATAAAAACAAATTGATGAACTGCATATAATAGGTAAAAAATAAAACACAAATAATAATAACATTAGATGAAAGACTCCCAGGTGCACTGAAGGCAAGACCCATGAGTGCCTCTTCCACTGGGCTGAGATATATATTTATGTATGCACATTATATGCACATGCACACATACTCAGCTTCAATACTGTATGGCCATCAGACTAAACACATCATAGTTATGCAAGATTAAATATTAAAACACTGAAAGCAGAACTGTGTTACAGATCAGTTTTTGGGGCAGGATCGTTGAGATCAAACTAGTTGTTAAGGTCCTGTTGACTGTGATCATCTTGTTGAAACACTGTTTTGAGAGAAATGACACAGCCCTGCTTCTGCCACAACCTACAAATGATCATAAAATCTTCTGCAAAAGATGTGTTGTTGATATGGGTATCCTCACATGTATTGTATCCTAGCTTAAATTAAAGCAAAAGTGACCTGAAAATGTTTTCTCCACTGCTACAGTAGCCAACATAAGACCCATAAATATCTGTAGGCGACAGCCAGGGTATGTAACGAGTAGACATTCTCATGCTGAAAAATGCCATCCTCTGTATAAGCTCTCTTATGCATTTTCATGGTGCTGAACCTTATGCTGAGCTCCTTCTACTTGCCTAGCATTTATGTCAATCCCCTTTCATAAATAATTTACTCACAAGCGTTCCAGGTAAATGAATAAAAGTAATAAAGACAGTGGGGCAGCATAGCAGCCAAGCATTTTAGAAGGAGATTAGCAATTGTGACCTCCATACTTTAAAGTCTTAGAATGAGTGGGGCAGCAAGGCAGCTAGTAAGGAAATATTTAGCATGGAGCAGAATGTATGCAGAAATGTCAGTGACATCTCTGGGAACAACTCCTATTCACAGTTATTTATATCTAGCTGCAAAATGAAAAAAAAAAATGTTCACCTTTTTTTTGGGGCACCTGCACTTTCACTATGCTAGGGGCCACATCGAATTTGTCATACTTCTTTTTAAGATGTATGGTTCTTAAGTCTTGCAAGTTAGTTACAAAGTCTTCAGTGACCTTTTGAATTTTCCAATGCAGCACTACAAGTTATTTATTTATTTTTTTCTACAAAAGGTCATCAAGGCACACTTTAAATCTTGCTTGGCAACCTCGAGACCAGATCTCTGCTTTTTGTGCTGTCATGCTGTGATAGTGAAAAGGACTTTAAAAAAGGAAAGGTTGCAGGTTTGTGAAAGCGGAGTTGTAAAAACTTGAAAGAAGGCTGCGTAACAATCAGTGTGACTCTGCTGATAGTGGCTAATTGGCATGGAGGGTCCTATGGCTGGATCAATGAGACTGGTGTTCGATACCTGAGGCAGAGCTAAAGCCTGGACTGGATGTCAAAGGATTAGTACAGACAAGCCAAGATAGCAGTGAGTATTTAGTGTCTCCAGCATATGGTTTCTGGTTCTCCACAAGATGCAGATCCTGAAAATCTCTTCTTTTTTGATAGTGTTTAATGATGAGAAAATAATTGTACAAAAGGAACAACTACCCAGATGAGGGTCCTTCAAAATGCCGAGCTGGAAATAGCCAAGAGTACATAGGCAGCCCACAAAACAAAAACCAGGCAAAGACATAATTAGGGTAACAGGGTGCAATAAGATAGGAGACCACCACAAGAAAAATGGTTGTAAATGGCAATGCATGAATAATAAGGGCAAGGAAATCTTCAACATAGGAATAAAGCATGCAATAAATTTACCTTAAACTTCTCGTAATATCCAGTGAACTTTTCTATACATCTTTGGCGGCATACCTAGAAAAGAACACATAATATACAAACTGCATTATGATTAGGGGGCATACCAATAACTTACAAAAAAAAGTGCAGGCATTGTGCCAAGAAAACAACTATAATTCACCTGTAATAATTGAGGTGCTTTCTACAAACTGACAACTAGCACGTGATAAGCTGTTATTGCTAAACTCCAGACAAATATAAGTTAAAGCAGCTACACATTCATTGAATGTATTTTTAGTGCAACCGGTGTAAGTATCTCATACAGACTTGGAATCAGCTTCTTGCAATCCCCTATTCAGCAGAAGTCTGGGAGGGGGAGGAACAACACTGGGAGCCAATCAGGAGCGCTAGGAGGAAACAGCAGAGAGAGATTGGGAATGACCTTATCAGTCTTCTACTGCTTTTTCACGGTCTAGTCAAAAAGGTGGGGCTGCAGAGAGGACACCACTGTATTCCATAACAGTGCCATCCATGAGGTCTTTGCTGTAAGATCTGAAAATGTGGTCTTTCCCAGAACTAGGTTTGTTGTACAGTAAACTCCCCATTATTCTGCATTCAAGCATCCAAAACGCTTAAGCAACCAGAGAGAGAGAAAAAAAAAAAGAAAGAAATGGAGACCTAATATGCCCTCAATTTTTTTGCCAGTCGCTTGATAGACATGTGCACACTAAAATATTTTGTAAGCTAAATTCATTTAGCTGCTAATGAAATTCTCGGTTTTGTGGCCGATGGCTAGTCTCCGCAGCTGGCAAGTGAATGTAAACAGCGGGCAGTGTGTGTGTGCAACAGCCAGCCTGTTATTGGATATGGCAATTTGAAATAGCCAATAGCAGAATCTAGCCAGCAGATGACTGGGGTGGGGGGTTGTTGCTTGAGAGGTAATAGTAACTTTCAACCAACCAGAAACTACAGTTATCCGGCATCTATCAATCCCCACGGGTGCCGGATAACGGTGCCTTGAACATGTTTAAATGCATTTCCAATTTCACAAAATATTAAATTCTACTGAATATTTATCCGATTGCCTTTAGAGATCAAAATATTTTTCTTCATTTGAGCAAATTGGACTAAATTTTATAAATGTTTTGGGCCATGTGCCATTTTTTAACCATAATAACTACATTACCTGCAATGACCCTGTCCAGTGAGAGTAGCCTTACTGGCCACTGGGGCAATCTCGTTGCACAATGGAATGGTAGTAAGAAGGGTTTAGCCATTAGGTGAGAGAAAGAGGAGCAGTACTTTTACATGGGTACAATGGATGGTTACAGGCTCACTTGGCAGCAATGTAATTATGTATAATTCTAAAGATTATTTTTTAAATCAGATCTTTCATATTTTTTTATTGAAACATAGTAAGACTGGCACATTATTACTGCTATTACAAAATCTCACAACACCATTATGTGGATTTAAATATTAAAGCAAAACTCCAGCTTCACCTGTTTCTGTCTGTTTGCTGCTTCCTCTACTGCTTGGTGAAAAACAGTGCTACTCTGTAATTTTCTGCAGGGCATGCAAGAGTGCAGGAAAGGGGGGGTATAAAAAGAAACCGGAGTTCTGCTTTAACCTTTGCTTTATATATAGTCATGCCCCAGTTTTCCAGGAGGCCATGCTGAGTTCTTACTTATATGATACACGAGTACCTCATCTATACAGAAATGCGCAACTCTGCTTGAAAACTGAAGAACTCTAAGTAGGCTTATTGATGCAAAAAAAACCTCACATTTTGAAAGCCTTGCTGATTGAGAATCTCTTCTTACCTGTGCCATACAAAATCGCTTCCATATGGAACTTTTTAACTCTGCAATCTGTTCTTCAGTCATATCTCTTGAATTGCTTTCAATTGGATCCTGTAAGATGATGCCATATTTTTAAATGACCACCATAAAATATTTATCCATATTTATTCAACAAGCCATCACTCGTTAAAGATGACACTGATAAAATAATGACCATCCCACCTAGTTTAAGCCACTGTGGTTAGCTCTGCACCTGAAGTAGCACTCATACCTCATCACAGCAATCATATTACATGATATTATTATTACATAGTATTTATATAGCACCAACAGTTTGCGCAGCACTTTACAATGTAAGGAAGACATTACAATCACAATACAATTCAAGACAAGATGGTGAGGAGGGCCCTACAGGGCCCCTGAGGGCTTACAATCTAAAATATCATATATATCAAAATATCAAATATCTAAAATATTTGATAAAATATCAAATATCAGTAACAATCATCTTCACATCTTGAAAGAATCAGACTGAATCCACTGAATAATACAATTGGTTTTGCAGGGAAAAATGTATATATAAAAAACAAACAATTTTTGAATCCCAAAACACACCTAAAGTTTGCAAATGCATGCTTTACATGTTATTGTTATTTTATACTTTTTTTTTAAATATATATAAACATTGTCTAAATAAATCATATATTTGTTTCACTGCACTTGCATAGTCTTCACTAGTTTACATTCATATTAAAAAAAGCCACAGCTCTTGAAATGAAGAATAAAAATAAAAAATGATTTAGCTTCCTAAAAAGCCATTTAATCCAGCCTAATAGTGATGACGATTTCAATAAAATTACAGAGAACTGTACTGACAAATCTTCTGCAGCCAACACATTTCTGGGTATGTTGTATATCTGGTGCCCCGCTGAGTGCTGTGATTCTATCCGCTTTTAGGAAGAGAGAGGCTCTGATGTGCAAGGGTGAGGTGCTGAAGACTTTGATGGCTAGCGGGATGTGAAAGAAACTTCTGTTGTGAAGGTAGGACTCTGATGTGAAGGTGGGAGGGAGTACTTTGATGTGAAGGAAGCTCCTTGTGTAAAAATGGGGCTCCTGATGTGAAGGGGGGCTCCCGTTGTGAAGGGAGGCCTCTGGTTTGAAGGGGGGGGTGCTCCTAAAGTGGAAGGGGGAATGCAACATTTTATTATTTCGCATTGGGTTCTCCCTTAAAAATCCATAGCATGCCTCTTTCTACGATTAAGGTCTGGCATGGATTTTTGGGAGGACCGCACCTCGCTGTTGACATTGTTATTTTTATGTCATTACATTTTATACTGGGGTGCTTTGTGATTTTGTAGACTTTTTTTTTTTTTAGCAATAAGATTTTATTGAAAAGTATATAGCGAGTTTACTTGTAGACTTTTAAAGGGTGGCTTGACTGAAAAAAGGTTGGGAAATGCTGCTCTACATGACTAAAATGTTCTGTAGGGATATGGGGGCATCGGAACTACAGATCGTATTGAGGGGAACAGGACACAAGCTGACACACCAGAAAGTATGTTGGATGCAGACTATTCTTCAGCTGCTAAGGCTCATAGACAAAAGTCTCAGAGGAGGGAGAGAAGGCAAAGAGCATGGGTCAGTGAGAATAAGTTGTTGGAGGGGGGTTATCAGTAGAAGCTGTCAGTCAGGGAAAAATTAAAGTGTCTCTTTAAACTATATTTACAGACTCATTTTGGGCCCATTAAAAAGTAATTCCCCTCATTTTCTATGAGACCTCAGGAACAGGAAGCAAGCAGAGTTTTAGAGTTTGGACTAGTAATAGTGTGAGGTCAGGCGGGAAAAGAAGGGGTGGATTTTTTTGTAACTTTATTGAGCGTGTACAGAGTGTAGACCCCATTCAGGTCTCTGCTATGTGGTGCAGTAACCTTCCATGCCACCCACTATGCTGTGCAAAAATGCTGCATTTTTAACTCCACCAATGCTCCCCTCCAGGACTTCTCTAGAGTCTCTCCCATCCTCTGGAACTCTTTACCCCCAACCTGTCCATCTATCTTCCACCCTGACTGCCTTTAGGCGATCCCTAAAGACTCATCTCTTCAGGGAAGCCTATCCCACCTCAACCTAACCACTCAACCATCACGTTCTCAAACAATTCATGCCCACACAGCTCCCTCCTCATGTATCACTTGCCCGTCCCTTTTAGATTGTAAGCTCTCAGCGGCAGGGCCCTCCTTACCCCCTTGTATTGAATGTATTGTAATGTCTTCCTTATCTTGTAAAGCGCTGCGCAAATTGTTGGTGCTATATAAATCCTGTATAATAATAATTCATTTCTTTACAAAGGACTGTACAGGTAGAATAAGGTTACTGCAGACCTGCAAAAGTATAGCAAACAAGGGGCATGTCTGTTCACTTCAGTGATAGCACCAGGGAAAGAAGAGATCCCTGCCAACAACACTGACTGCACTGCAATGAGCGCTTTTTAAGGCTGATACAAATCTTTCAGGAAATGCAACACAAAAAACAACTTTTGAGAAATTAAACAATTACATTTGGGGGTCTATTTAAAAACAGTTTGCAGAGCTACTTGCCCTGCAGATTTCTGTGAACGTTTGTTTTGTGCAAATAGTTGCAAAAACAAACATTCTTAGTATATATTCTTTACAAACCGAATGTAATTTTGAATGTAATACCGCATTACGGCCACTAGATGAAGCTGAAGAGCACTGACAATACATATTTCCTATGTTCCTCGGCCTATCTAGTTGTCATAATGTATGTATGTATTTCAAAATGAAATTTGGCTCGTAAAGAAAATATACTAAGAACGTTTATTTTTGCTTCTATTCGCACAGTTTAAAGAGATTCGCAGTGTAAATGATTCTTCAAATTGTTAATACCTGGGTGTTTTATTAATATATAAGCTGTAATTCTAAGGTATGTTTTGACACAACATGAAAAAAAGAAATGGGGGGAGCAGTTGCCATTGAGACAAAAAGGCACAGGCAGCAAAAAACTAACAAATTGTCAGAAGTTCTAACCCTTTCCCATTTTATTAACCCGTTCCCACTGGCAGAAGCAAGCCCTCTATGAAACTGTAACGCCAGTGGCGTTACATGCGCTTCCCGATCATGTAATTATTGTGACTGTGTATTGTCACAGTGATCACGTGATTGAGAGCCTGCTCTACTGTTCCCGATCGTTGCCAAGTCACCGAGAGTTGTTGTGTCAGGGCAATCACAGTGCTGGGATGTGCAATTTTGCGCACTCCTAGAACAAAATGATGCTAGCTGTATGCAGATGTGTGGCAGCATGGCATAAAGTCCACCTCTGTACTGCCACATATATGCATATGGTCAGTGTTAAGGAGTTGAAAGTGTGTATTTCTTTTGTACGAGTCGTTGTTGGAGAAATTTACCATCACTTGCAGTCCTAACACGCAGTAAATGGAAATCTCACCAATAGGGACAAAAGTCTGACAGAGGATGAAGATTTGTTTTAAATTGTGTTCATTTGCGACATAAATAGAATGGCCATAGAAAAAGGAATCTTTCACCCAGGTCTACACTGTATCATTTACAGACTAGAGAAACAAGGTTTATTTGATCTACAACTTTCTCACTCACAAACACATGTGCACAACAGTATTCTACAATCTCAATGTGCCATTCTATGCGCGATGAATAATTGTGTCGCTATAGTGTGTAAGAGAATTTGCCAGACAAGGTGTACAATAGGGATGCACCAAAATTTTGGCCACCGAAAATGGTTTTCTGAACAAAATGCAGAATGTATAATTGTTGTTGCTGAAAATGCAGTGCATCTCTAGTTTCTGTCCTCCCCACTGGACACTGCTCTGTGTCCCCTCTGATCCCCACGCATGTGTCAGCAGAGGTTGCGGGGGTCAGTGGAGCCACCGAGCAGCGCCCAGTGAAGAGAGAAACTTTCAGGTGGCCGAGCGAGGCGGGGAGGAGGTCGCTGTCAGCGTAATCACAGGAGGCCGAGCTCTTCTCCCGCATCACCACGCTCAGCCTCCTGTGACAAGCGAGTCAGGATGGAAAGCAGTATACAAACACTCAGTGATCAGCTGATCACCGAGCGTTTGGAGAAAACAGTGTCCACAATTATGAATGAATAGAAAGTGCTCTACATCACTTCTTGTTCAATTATAATTGTGGACATAGTAACTCAGTCCCCAATCTCTTTTTTATTTCAAAAGGGTAATATCAGGGGTCTGTTTAGACCCCTGATATTTCCCCAAAGCCCCCAACACCAAAGTAAAAAAATAAAATGCATACAAATAAAAATAAAATATAATTTTTTTTAAAACAGGTTAGATAATTCCATTTCGGTGCACCTCTAGTGTACAAATAACACAACTTTAGAAAGCTACTATGTTTCAGGCAAACAAGTTTTAACCCCGTTATTTACAATGGGCGGACGGCAGATGCTTCCCGGCGGGTGGATGTACATTTACGTGACTTTATTTCTGGGCGCGTGCAAGCAGAATCCCACCAGCAATGTAAACAGCCGTTAACGGCTGTTTCATACAAGCGGTCAGCTGGCTCTACGGATGATCGCTTGTATGACCCTACACAGTGCGGGCCCCCTTCTGCTGCCTCGCCTCCCCCCTCCCTCCCCCCAGGACCGAGAACACCAGCTGCTAGTACAGAGATGGAGGAGAGATCAGCATTCTCCCACCACTGATCTCTCCACCTTCTCTCACTGAAGGCGGAAACAATATATATTACATCACTTCCACCTTTAGCTGTCATTTCACTGGCTGCTATAACCAGAGAAGAAGCTGGTGAAGCAGATCTCTGCTTCATCAGCTTCTTTGGGGGTCCCTAGGTGACATTTGGGGTTCTTGGGGACACTGATGTCTCCATAAAGAGGACCTGTTATTGTATATTGGCTATGACATAGGGGGATTTTATCCCCCTATGTGATAGCAATCAAGTTAAGTGTATAAACAAATAAAGTCTCATATTGGAAAAAAACCAAACACCAAAAAAAGTCCCACACATGCATGCACTTGCAAACGTAAATATGCGTCAGGTGCGCCTACGTGCGAAAACAACGATTACGACACACGTTACATATCACCGCGAACGTCGGACTGTGAGCAATAATTCTAGGGCCATCAATCACTGATAAAACTAAACTGATGAGTGCTAAAAGCTTTTAAAGCGTCACCTATTGCCAATTTTAGGCATGGTAGTTTTATTGCGATTTCGCGGGCGCACACAATTTTAAACCTTGACATGTTTGATGTCTATTTACACGAAGTGACCCCATCTTTTATATTTTACCAAAAAATTGGGTAATAATAATTTTGTTATGGCATAACGTAGGGAAAACAGTTTATTTATTTATATATCGGTTATTTTTTCATTATATAGCAAAAAAAAATGTAAAAACCCGTTGTGATTAAATACCATAAAAAGAAAGCTCTATCTGTCCCTAAAAAATGGCATAAAATTAATTTCAGTACAGTGTTGCATGACGGAATAAATGTCAGTCAAAGTACCGCAGCGCTGAATACTGAAAAATGGCCTGATCGGGAAGAGGGATCAAATTATTGCTGTGGACACCACCTCTATTTTTTCATTTTTTTGGGTAAACTTTTAGATTTCCTCTAGTGAGAGACCCACAGCATAGTCTCTAAATATAAATTATCCAAAACAAGTCATGGTTAGTTTACTGTCTATGGCTAGGACTGGCACTTTGCCTGTATTTCAGTGCACAAAGCCGCAGATACCCGAGACATGTTAGGGAGGGATACTGGAATATTTTCTTGCAATGTCCCCTTTAAGTTTTCTAACGGAACTACTTTCTTGTTTACTGTGGCTGTTTGTCAAAGGAAAGCAAGACCACATTTCAAATAAACAGGAAGAATTAATATTACCTCTAGAAGATATGCTCCAAGGTACAGCACAGAGTAATATGGAGCATTATAACAGCTTTCTTTCTTATTAAAGAAGCTTTTATTGTTGGTAAAGACGTGTGTGATTCCTCCCTCTGGGTTCTGTGCATCACACATTGTTGCTTGCCCAGCTGTAAGAACTCTGTTAAGAAATAATCAAGATACTTTGTCAACTTTATATTGAAATCAGACAATTTTTCTATTGCATCAGTACACAGTTCATTAACCTTTGCTACTCCACTACATAAGTGGCACGACAGGGGAGGTGTCTCAGGAATTGTATTAAAGGAAGTTAGAAGAAGAATTCAATTCAACAGAAATCAATTTCTACTGTTGTCCACAGCTTGTAATCTGACCAGGTCAGTTCTACTTTACTCAACCACCTCTGTCTGGTAATGTGAGATTTCCCACAGCTATAGAAATGACTAAAAGGTGCCCATACACCTGCCGATTATCGTACGATAATCGCGGAAAATCCCGCAAGCATACGGTAATTGCAGGTGTATGGAAGGGGTGCGACCGTTTCTACTCTACGGTCGCGCGTCTTTTGTCTTACGAGCATGTTTGAAAACCCGCCGAGAATCGTACAATTTTCGGTGGGTTTGTGGCCTACTCGCAAGATAAATGCCGCACGGGCTGGTGTGTACAAGCGCACACTGCCCTTCAGCAATGCAGTCATCTGGTCCAGGTCTGGCCCGGAAAATGGTGTGAACCCAGCCTAAAGGCGCCCATACACCTCTCAATTATCATACGATAATCGCAGGAAATCCCACGATCGTACGATAATCGCGCAGTGTATGGAAGGCGTGCAACCGTTTCTACTGTACCGTCGCACATCTTTTGTCTCCCGTGCAGGCTTGAAAACCTGCTGAGAATCGTACGCTTGTCGGCGGGTCAGTGCCGTTCTCGGGAGACAAATGCCGAACGGGTCGGTGTGCGCAAGCGCACACTGCCCGTGCGGCATTGGCGTCATCGGATGATCGCAACTACGATCTGTCTGTCCAAGATGGGCAGATTTTACGTTTTTTTTAATTACCTTAAAACCAATGCAAGACAAGCGTCTTGCGATGGTTGTAAGGTGTATAGCAAGCTTAACATTGACTAACTGCTGGCCCAAGAAAGTTCACATAGTGACTAGCAAAACGCAACTGTGTTTTCTGGCAGTTATTTATTTTTTGGAGCTACCACTTAGCAAAAGAAATGTAAAAAATAAATGGTTCACTTAAAAGTGAGTGATAACATGAAAAACTGAAGCCTGATGAAAACGCCATACTTATGTTTTAGGTACTGAGATCAGTAAAGTTGAAAAGCCCTTTGATCTTAAAAAAAAAAAAAAAGGACACATTCCTTGTTTTTTTTTAACCTGTGATGAGAAGGAGGAGAAGAATACAGCCTGGGAACTGGAGTTTTAAGGGAATTCATCAAAATTGGAGCAGACCAAATCTGGAGCAGCTGTGCACGGCAACCAACCAGCTTCTCTCTTTCATTTTCAAATCTAAACTGAACAAACTGAAGAAAGAAGCTGATTGGTTGCCATGCACAGCTGCTCCAGTTTTGATAAATTCTGCCCAAAGTCAATAACTGCCTCCTCCGAATTTCACTCAGGCTAGTTTTCCATTTAAACAAATACTTGGCTCATGAGTTCACTTACCATATAGATAAAAAAACTGCTTAAACACATGAGGGAAAATCCAATTGACAAAAGAAAAATAAATAAACTCCTCAGTAAAGTAAAATAAGTACTTCTCATGAGTGATCTTCCAGCCAGAATTCATAACAAGCTTGAACACAATCATAAATTATGGGAGCATTCCTTCTGAATAATTGAGCAAACTAAAAGTTCTTTCCCAAACCTTCATACCCATAACACCCTGTGGTCACGTACCCCCTTGTACAAACCATCTACCTCTCCATACATCATTCTCCTCATATACTAATGCTTACAGAGTACTCTAGCAACATGAAAAGGAAACTGTGCCATCCCAAAGTTTATGCAGAAACTTACGAACAACGACAACTTGCATTTCAA